GGCTACAGTAGTGAGTGAGTGAGTGAGTAGATCCAAGTGCTCATCTTGTTCATCGTGCAGGCATAATGACTTCTTTTTAGTGCAAAGTTGGAGTAGAAGTATAATGATAGTCTTTCTCTATTGTGAAGTTTGTGTTAGAAGAAAAAAAGAAACAGTGGGTGGTTGGGGGGTGCTTTGGTGTGGTTTGCTTCTTCTTTCCTATCAAACATCTATTGTCCTTATCTCCCCTTCTTCTTTTTTATGTTTGTTACTCTATTGTAACACCTCTAATCTTCTGGTGCTCATATGACCTTATGCAGTTACGAGCGCCGTAAAACCTCTGATAAAATTAAAACAAACTAAAAAAGAAACAGGCCTGACTTGGTATGGTAAAACCAGTCATTAGTTCCTGTGGTATTTGAAATCTTTGCTTTTGAAATGATGTAACAGCAATAGTACATTTTGTAAAAGGTTGACCAGCTTAATGTCTACTGTCATCATCATCAGTGCCTTTCACCCCTGGCAGGGTATAGGCCACATACAAGCCCCTTCCATTTATCTCTATCCTGGGCCATCCTTTCACCCCTGGCAGGGTATAGGCCACATACAAGCTCTTTCCATTTATCTCTATCCTGGGCCATCCTTCCTAGTTTGTTCCAAGTGAGCTTCATCTTTCTCATGTCCCTTTCCACACATCTCCATGTTTCTCGTGGCCTACCCCTGCCTCGTTCTCCCTGTGGGTTCCATTGCAGTGACTGTCTTGTGATGTTTCCGCTGGGCTTTCTGAAGGTGTGTCCCACCCAACGCCACTTTCTTAGTCCGATTTCTACTTCAATATCCTTTTGTCCTGTCCTTTCCCATAGCTCTTCATTTCTTATTCTATCCTTCCACTTATTTCTTAAGATACTTCTCGTAATGTCTACTGTAATGAACTAAATAAAACCAGTTTCTCTTTTCCCCAAGAAGCATTGTTGTTTCAATTTTCCCGTTTGGTTCTGTTTCAGCTTCAACAGGCTGGATCTGCCACTGTATGAAAGCTATTCTGACCTCCGGAGCAAGCTGATTACTGCAATCGAGAACACCCAAGGTTTCGAGGGAGTGGATTAGCGGCCCGGCTGCCTGGAGAGAGAGTGGTTGATATTTGAGGCTGTTTTCCCGGACATGCCTTTTGACTGCAGTTACTGATTCTCTGTTTGTCTGCCTCTGCTATGGTCAAAGAAAAAGCAAGCAAGTGAAAGCCCCTAATGCCCTACGTCTCCGTGGAAAGCTGGGCTCTTGACTTCACACTCGTGGGTCCTTACCATAAAGCTGTTCTGTTTTGTTGGGGTGGGTGGGTGGGAGGGGGGTGGGGGGAATTTTTCTTCTTCTTTGCAAACACTTGCCTTTGTCTATTTCTTATGATTATGTAGATGGAACTTAACCTTTTTGAGTAAAAGCTTGGTATGTAAATAGGTCTGCCGTTTTCATTTCATAATACGTTACTTCATGTACAGTAAATCCCAGAAAATCAGAATGGCCACTGCGTGACTTTGCTTCATGTATTTTGCACCCTTTTTGCTTTTGTTTGTGAAATGATCCAGTGAGTAGTGAGCAGGCACTGTCCTTTTCTTGTCCTAATGTTCCTTTTTTTTTCTTTTTTCCCCCTCCCCATGGTTTCTGTACTGATGTCTGTGGCTGTGATACCTTTTTGACTATTTAAGTGTATGATTCCTGGGTATTCTTCTGTGATGTAGTGTTTTTGTTTCAAACTGTTTCTCAGCGTTACGACTTGTGCTACATCCACTTACTTTTCCACGCATATATATACACACGCACTTTATACTCATGTGCCTTCTTATTTTGTCTCAATACACGTTTTGCATGAAAATGCTTGCTGTGTTGTGATCATGAAAGACACTGTACAACTTTCTCTGTGAGGTGTGAATGGTACGTTTTTTTACAGCTCAAAGAAGCCAACTTTGTGTGTGTGGTCTTTATGTGAAATATTTATACCCGATATGGTCGTCTTTTATGACTCGACTGAACGTGTGAACGGATTTGTGTAAGTGCAGCACTGTGAGAAGTGTGTTGTGTGGGAGCGTGTGGTCTTGTCGTTATGGCTGAAGGAAAATACTTTGCTCGTTACGGTCTTCTGGTATGGACCTAAGTTCATGTAAGGTTAGTGTGTTCTGAGACCCAGTGGACAAAATTGCCAAACCCAAACTTGTTTGTCTTCAATAATGATAACAGTTGGTCAGTTGTTCTGATGCACCGAGCCCAACATTTGGATACTTACTCCGTGGTATCGGTTTCATTATTTGTGCTTGAGAAATGTTATGTAAAAATTCAAATTCTGAGTTTTTTAAAGAAAAGCAATAAAAGCCACAGAATGTCGATAGGCTTATTGTTTGGATTGTTTGGATTGTTTGGAAAAGAATGAAACAATTTTTTCCCTCTCCTGGAAAATTTTGCTTACTGGGCTTGGAGCAGTTAAGAATAGCTTGCCAACGATCCAGTGGTGGTCCTGTGTGTCTGTCGTCGTGTAGTCTTGTTTGCTCTTTCATTTCACCAATGTCAAGGTCAGTATGACAGAATCGACGACTTTCTTGAATCCCACCTGACCATGTCCAGTGACTGGCTGTCTGTCTGTCATTATGCCTTCTGTTATACATATTTTCTGCTTCTTTATGCAAGCTCATTCTTTTTCACCAGTGATGTCCTTGCTGTGCTTCTCTGCTGTCCATCCATCGATGTCTATGACCATATGCAGTTGCGAGCGCCGTGAAACCTCTACTAAAACTTAAATGTGTATGAGCCTTTCACTTGGAGATTGAAGTTACCAGTGAAATGTCTTCATTGGGATTTTCATTATAATCTGTTTCAGGCTTCCAAACCCTAGTGGTATTGAAGCGAATGTCCTAGTTCTTTACCTGGCAGCAAGTAGGAGATGGAATTCTCTTCTACATTTCCTCTTTCTCTTTGACTTTCACATTTCAATGTACAAACAAACTCACTCCTAGATGTTAGTGAATCGCTCTCAGCACATATGATATATATATAGTTCCAACACTTAGAATAACAACGGTCGTCCTTTCGAACGAAGCAAGGTGAGCAGTCATGTTTGCTGCAGCAGGAGCTCACTCTTGTTGAGTGTTGGCTACTTCAATGTCTGGTGATAGATGTAGGGATGAGGAGCGTGCCTTGTGCTCCTCTCCAAATCGAGGGCTGCCAAGTAGACTATGGTAAGTCATGTTTTTCTCTAGTTTTACAGGAAAGACAAAATAAACGGATTTTCTTGAAGCGTTTTGGGTGGGTAAACTTCATTTTCATAAGGCAGCCTAACGTCTGTCAGGGCATTTGTAGGCTTTCTTAAGAAAATGAAGTTTATCCACCAAAAACACTTCGAGAAAATCCGATATTTGTCTCTCCTGTAAAATGTGAAAAACATTACTTGCCATAGTTTACTTGGCTGCCCCTCGAAAGGAAAACCTGAGCTATCCGGTCGTGACTGGGATCAGAATCCGTTTCTGAATCTGCAGTTTTTGTGGACAGAGCTGAAGACTTTCCACCTCCTCATAGCAGCACTAGCCGCTGATTTGGAGATTCTGCTTCTTAACCCTATCCATACGTCATGTTTTACTATTGTATCCATACGACGTGGGGAACTCTGTGCCACCACTTAACCCTATCCGTACGTCGTGTTTTACTGTCGTATCCATACGACGTGGGGAACTCTGTGCCACCACTTTCCAAAGAGGAAATTTACTTGTGAATCCAATCCATGCACTTTGCATAGCACTCAGTCAAAATGATTTTTTGAGAAACACCGAAAGTTTCAAAGAGGTCTTTGTACTAGAAGTATTCTAAAATGTAAAGAATACGACCCTGGGGGTATGGGGTACAAAATGACCCCAGGGCGTACGGATAGGGTGAAATCTCATAATGACATAATGCTACGAAGTGAAGTTGTTTTCTTACTGGAGGGTTGGGGGTTCTAGGTGTATTCTGATCTACCAAGTCTCTTAGTAGGGGTGGCTTTTCCTATTGGTTGTCTGCCTCCCCTTACTTCTGTCGGTGTACTGGTCATGATGCGTCTGATTTCTGTCTCATCTCTTGTACAAGATCAATACCTTCTATTAGACAATGACAAGGGGATGAAATCATCTTTGTACTTGCTCATCATTTAAGCTGATGGATGGATTTGGAAAAAAATTCAGTACTGTTTGTTTTATGGGTTGACATATGACTGTCCCTGTCGTTTTATGCAAGAACAATTCTGAGATTATACAAACTGAGCCCAAAAATGTGAAATTATGCGAACCTGTTTATTTTTACCAAAGAATGGTAAAGGAAAATAATCAGAAATTATGCAAAATATGATCAAATTTTGCTAAATTATGCGGGGTACATAAAACTACAGGGACAGATATATGAGATCTGAATGGTATCATCGTAATAGTCATAGACAGTTGACCTGTGTTCTGAATGAAGATTTGGGCGATCTGTTGTGATGACATGAGAAGTTTTAAAAATGTCAATAGATACAGCAAGTAAGTGGTTCCCTTTCCTCCGTCCCCTTCAAATTGAGCTGGGGTTTGTCTTCTGTACACCAAGAGTGCGGTTGTGAAAGTGAGGAAATCTGTTTCAATTTAGAATTTTGTACTAACAAGGCCAAAAATTATCATTCGTATGTCAAACTGTTTTTTGTAATGTGAATTTGATATTGTGCTGCCCTCTTTTTCTGGCACCTTGTTCAGTTTTGTGAATAGAACTGATGTATAATCAGACCTTTGTAGCATTTAATATATTTATATTTATACGTACAGTGACTGATATTCTACAAGTTGGTCTGTTATCAGACAACCTTGCCCAGTAGAAATATAGCAGAGCTTATTTAGATTTCTTACCATTCACATTCCTTCATTTTGGATATCAATGCCAGTGTTTTTAATAAGATAATTCAAGAAAACGTTTTATGCAGTAAGGTAGTGGGCGGTTGGCGGGTGCTCTGATGTGGTTTGCTTCTTCTTTCCTATCAAACGTCTATCGTCCTTATCTCCCCTTCTTCTTTTTTAATGTTTGTTACTCTCTTGTAACACCTCTAATCTTTTGGCGCTCATATAATCCTTATGCAGTTGCGAGCGCCGTAAAACCTTTACTAAAACTAAAAACTAAGCAGTAAGGTAGAAAGTAGAGGTGCATTGGAGTCTGCTTAAAGTGAAATGAGTGGGACTGCCGAGGTTTTTAAAAAATTTTATATCTGTGTTTGTGGTTTACACACAAAGTTTGCCCACATAGAAGAAAAAAAAATTATTTTTTTTCTTTTCTTTTGGCTTAGTTCTGTTTTTGGATGAGCTGTGTTCTGTTTTGAGTGGACTCCAGTGTCTGCACTCGCTGGGATAAGGCAGGTTAGTTTGTTGTGAGCACACTGTGAGTGTGGGTGGTTGGCGGGGCCTCTGGTGTGGTTTGCTCCTTCTTTCCTATCAAACAGGAAAATACCTGAATATTTTTAAGGTTTTATTTTGACTGCTTAGTGGGAGACTCTGGTAAAACACCGTTTTGTGGGTGCTTGGAGGGTGCCACTGGTAGGCCCTACTTCTTTACTTCCCCCTCTGTTGTTTCTGTCAGTCCGTCTTACTTTGTGGGTGGTTGGCGGGTGCTCTGGTGTGGTTTGCTCCTTCTTTCCTCTAAACAGCTACCGTCCTTATCTCTCCTTCTTTTTTACGTTTGTTGTTACTCTCTTGTAACACCTCTAATCTTCGGCACTTATATGACCTTATTGTGTTGCAAGTGCCGTAAAACTCTTCACTAAAACTAAAACTAAAACTAAAACGTCTTACTTTTTCCCGGCGCTAAATGACCATTATTGTGTGGATGTGCTTCTCTTTACTTTACCCCTTGACTGCTAACCACAAGCTCACAGCCTGTGCTGAGGAAATTTCCCTAGTGGCTGAGTATGTCACAGCCTGCCGTTTTGACTGGCTATAGCTCGCTTACTATAAGGGATAGATGGAGCAAAGTGCATGTCAAATAAAAGAGAAATGAACGTATAATCCGCTGGTGTTACTCGTTTGAGCTATCATCATCATCATCAATGCCTTTCACCCCTGGCAGGGTATAGGCCACATACAAGCTCCTTCCATTTATCTCTATCCTGGGCCGTCCTTCCAAGCTGGTTCCAAGTGAGCTTCATTTCTCTCATGTCCCTTTCCACACATCTCCTCCTTGTTTTCCGTGGCCTACACCTGCCTTGTGCTCCCTGTGGGTTTCACTGCAGTGACTGTCTTGTGATGTTTCCGCTGGGCTTTCTGAAGGTGTGTCCCATCCATCGCCACTTTCTTAGTGCTATTTCTACTTCTATATCCTTTTGTCCTGTCCTTTCCCACAGTTCTTCATTTCTTATTCTATCCTGCCTCTTAATTCTTAGAATACTCCTCATATATCTGTTGTTGAAAGTCTGGACCTTATTCAGTAGTGTTTGAGGTATGAGTATAAGTATTCTGTAGATGAATTTGGCAGGTGAAAGATAGATTTTAAAAAATTCCATCTCGGTATTCGAGATCCTTGTCATCTCGGAGGTTAGATCTGTTATAAAAACTTTCTTCAGATGAATTGAAATTTTCAGTATGACTGTCTCCTTCTCGATGTATAAATTTCTGCAAGAACCTGATCCGTAGACGTAGTCCACCTCTGCGAAGCCATCCTGGCAAATGTAGACTGCATGCAAAAACCTCAGAGAGGCAGACTGACTTGGTCATTCACGCACAACACACCACTCACTATGTCTCTTTGTTCTAGCTACTAGATTCAAATCCTGGGACGAATAGCCTAAAAATAGGCATGATCGCATCGGCAAGTGGGTAGAGAATACAGGGATGTAACTCTTGTTTTTCAAAACCGTGTAGAAGTGAAGATATGCAAACAGATGTGGGGACTCTTGTGGTCGAGAGGTTACGGTGTTCGCCTCTCATTCAATAGGTCCCAGGTTCGAATCCGAATAGAGATGGAAAATGTTCTTCTCCAAAATTTTCTCCTTTCACCTCCTTTTCTGCTCTCTAACAATACTCTGTCATCTGCTTTCGTCTCCACTTTCTGCCCCCACCCCCTCTCCTCTGGACTCCTGACTCTCTCTGCGGCCTTTCTACTGCTAGCCATTGGCTGCTTCTTACTGCTGTCTTTCAGCCAGACCCCTGATTTTATGGTTGGAAAGATCTAAACCTAGCCTTTCCGGACAAATGCGAAAAGTCTCGGAGGTCCCGTGTGCAGGTTGTGCTCTTTAAAGATCCCTTGGTGGTCCAAACTTGATAAGAGTACGCTTTGGCCGCCATCAGTTGAAAATTCAAAATTTCCTACCCACTGAAAATGTTTAATGTGTCCCGCATGCTCATATGACGTTATGCAGTTACTGGTGCCGTAAAAAAC